AGTCTTCTCTGACATGACAAACCACTGCAAATCCCTGCAAGACAGGTGAGTGGAAGCTGACAGAAGATGAGACCATGGCAAGAGCTATACTGTACATATTTGGGGGAAGATACAGGAGGATCTCTGTCAGATACAGGTGCTCTGAGACTCAGCACAGGCAGGCTTGGGAGGTCTCATGGCGTAGGAGCATGTACAGATTTTCTAGTTCTTTCCAGAGCTATACAAGGGGATGGATGTCACTAAGATGAACTTATTCCTAGGGGACTAACAAAGGAAAGACAAGGATCTCTATATGTCTTCTCTCTGATCACACTTCTCTTAGTGAAATCTGATTGCTTCCTCAGGTCACAGACATGATGCGGCCTCACACGGACCTCCCCAGCGTGTCCTGGATGCTGTTCTCCTGCCTGATGTTGCTGTCTCAGGTCCAAGGTGAGATTTCTCTGCCTCTGACACTGGGTCCTTGCGAATGCTCAGGGCCAAGAGGAGAAGGAAGACTCTCGTGGTACTGGTGACATATATACCCACACCATGAAATGGCCTATGACTCGTCCATCACCACACCATCCTTCAGGGTAACCAGGGATGGCAGGCATCACAGTGGTCCACTAGCACTGCAAGGAGGTCCTTTGCTTCTTGTCAGTGCACTCTCATTTATGTTGGTAGGCGAAAGAGGAAAGTGTGAAGGGACAGAAATAAAATAAGGGGAAGGAAAATGAGGACCCAGGGCAAGAATGTGTATCCTAGAGCGGGGAAGGGTTGGACTGTGAATGGGAAAGATGAAAAGAAAGGAGAGGTTTCCTCATTTAGTGGGGCTGGTTCAAGAACAAGAAATCCCGAAAGTGTTGGCAGTGGTGAGAGGCAGTCAGGACTTTGGCATCACTTCCCCAAGCACCGACCCCATAGACGTTCCTCTAGGTCACCTCCCACCCTGATCCCCAGTCTCCTATTCACCTCTTCTCTCTCTTTTGTGTCCTTCCATCCTAGGTGAAGACTCGCCAAAGGAAGTGCCCACTCCACGGATCACGTGTCCCAAAGGCTCCAAGGCCTATGCCTCCCACTGCTATGCCTTGTTTATGACACCAAAATCCTGGATGAATGCAGATGTGAGTACTTGGATTTGCAGGTCGAGGTTTTAAGGGAAAGTACACTAGAGACCTGGCGGTGGGGGGGTTCCATTCCCCAGAGTTCCTTGGGGGTGACGGTGAGCATCCTCATCTTTTGCATACATACCTCTTCGCCCCTACCTCTGCACTGCCCGTCTCCCAGTGATGTCTCAGGCCTCCCCTGAGTCTCTCCCTTCCCCACACAGATGGCCTGCCAGAAGAGACCCTCGGGACACCTTGTGTCTGTGCTCAGTGGGGCTGAGGCATCCTTTGTGGCCTCCCTAGTACAGAACAGTGCGAACACTTACTCAAACATCTGGATGGGGCTCCATGATCCCACAGAGGTATGAATACATCTTCTCTCTATAACCTCTCAAGCTGCTATCGCCACCCGAGCCCACTCCCTGTCCCCTGTGTCTGCCCAGTAAATGCCCTAGAGAGCCTTGGAGCTCAGAGATCCAGGAGGATATTAGGAGAAAAGGGAGGACCTTGTGGCCAGCTGAACAGCTGAGTTCTGTGGAAGTCTCTTGACTCTGCTGAAGTTAATCTGCTTAATTTGCACGTGAGGCCATGTAATTCAGTTCTCTGAGCTTCACAGAGTCTACACATATTGTGCAGAGTGATTCCTAAACAAAGAGAGGATCCATTTTTGCTCTATGGAACAGACACTGTCTTTGAGGTTCAGAAGCTAATCACATATGTATCACTCGTTGTTGTTCAGTCAGTGAGAGGTTACTCTGAATGGGTCTATTGGTCTTTGTGTTTATGGGCTTCAGGATTTGTCAATAAGAGCAAGGAGGTAGGAGGAGTCTCCCAGAGGAGAGCTTTGGCTCCCAGGCAGCATCTAGAGGAGCAGACCAAATTCCATGATGCTGGGGAGGGGTTCCTGCAAGGAGCCCTTTAATGGCCATTCAACCTCACTAGACTCCATCCTCTCTAGGGCTATGAGCCCAATGCAGGTGGATGGGAGTGGAGTAGCACGGATGTGCTGAATTACCTTGCCTGGGAGAGACACCCCTCCACTAACCCAAACCCCGGCTACTGTGGGAGTCTGTCAGCAAGCACAGGTAAGCAACAGAGGAGCTCCTTTCTGCCAGACCTCTCCATCCTCTTTTTCCCTAGTTCTCAGTGTGACCGTCAGAGAATCCCCTTGAGCAAGAAAATGTAGGGTTGGTTTATCTTCTCCCACCCCTTCTCATCTCTCCTTTCTTTGAGTCCCATTCCCCTGGAGTAGGACACTGGTGAGGATGAGGGAGAGGCTGTGAATCCTACGCCAGAATCTGGGCTGCCTGTACCTTGGGTTCATGAGCTCCACCAGCCACATCTACCTGAGCTCCTCTGTCTCTCTAGGATATCTGAAATGGAGAGATTATAACTGCGGTGCGATGCTACCTTATATCTGCAAGTTCAAGGACTAGGTCTGGTGGGACGTCAGGAGCCTGAGTTT